AATAGACTTGAGGGCACTTGGGCTATTCAAGTATTGTTGATCTGAGCATTATTACTAAAGGTAAACTGAAATAAATTACCTCAGTTACTACATGATGATTTTTTTCAGCATGGTAAATAAAACTTATTAGTTCTAGATCATTAAATTCAATATTAGACTTTAAAAGAGTCTAGAGATTCCACGATATTATTAGTAAAACATGCAATAAAATGTATGTGCTTCAGTGTTAAAGATAAAAGGATTACTCTATTATATTTAGATATTAGTTATTAGTGCATTTTTCAGAAGGACTTTTGATATAAAAGCCTAGCTGCTGTTCTCAGATGCGAGCTAGGCACGCGGTGGCTCTGGCTCTCACTGAGTGGCAGATTCCCAAATAACTGAGCCATTTCTAAAAATGCCATTCAGAGCCTTTTGCTAATTTTCCCACTATTCCTCTTCGGACGAGAATAGACACTATTTTGCCAGTGATGCAGGTGAAGCAAGTGGGCAGGGACCTTGAAGAGCAGGGCTTGATTTTTCAGGTGGGTTTTTTTTAGTTAGCTTCCTATGACCCTAAATGTGGCCTTTGGTGCCCTGCGCCTCAGTGCTCCTCATTGCTTGAATATACCATGATCTTCGTTTCAACCTTTATTCTCTCATTTGGCTACAACCTCTCTGCGAGGACAGTCTCGCCGTGTGTAGCCAGTGTCTAGCACAAAGAAGATGCACTCCTAGTTGGAGCCTTCAGTCACTAGCACACAGCCAAAAATCCTGGCAACTGCCACCGCTACGTACACTCTGTCTTGCAAGATGCCAACAGCAAGGCTGGGAAAACATCCTCCACGAAGTAAGCAATGATGGCACATTGCATCGACTCAATTGCAGTAACCATGGGCAGTATATTATATGCTGCTATTATGTTTTTCTAACTACGACAGCAGCCAAGTACTGCTGATGTGGGCAAAATGTATTTGTCATTAAGCACAAAGACAGAAGATAAGCATAAGTCTCTGCAAGTGGTGTGTATGATTCAGTCTCTACTGCTTGCTTCGACATGGGGCACGATGCTGTCTCCCCATGAAAAAGGAGCAGCGCTCCTGAGATGCTAAGGGTCAGGATCACAGCTGATGATAGGAACCACGGCAGCTCTGTGAGGCCACAAAGACAGCACCCATAACCTGACCGGCTCCTCAGGCCAGGTCCAGGTAACAACTAGGAATTACTATTTTCAGGACAAATCAGTTGACTGAGCTGCTCTTCAGCACAAAATGCAAGCACTCTTCATTATCCTGTTTTTTGTCCACCATCACAGGAGCATTGCAGCATCCCAGAGAGCTTTTTGGAAACCTGAGCTAAAATCCTCTGTGAGAGGAATTATAGGAAAAGCCTAGTAATTATGAAGCCTAATTACAAAGTAATGTGGAGCTTGAGAGCAGAACTGCTAAGCAGTCAGAGACTAGACTGACAAGTGGGCCATCTGTCATCTGCGAGAGGGCTAACGAAGGCCGGCACAGGACTCTCTTGACGATGTATGGAGGAGGATATGTGCACGAGGAAATGTCCAAATACAACATTTAAGATATACGCCATGAAATGAGCTGCTAATTGGAGCTTGCCTGCATGCTTAGCATATGGACAACATAATTATAGTTGTACGGCAAAGGGAAGCTCACAATAGAGGATGATAATAGAAGGGTGCGGGGTGTGATGCAGTGAACGATGAGCAGGAGAGGGGAGCAGGAGGCAACAGGATGGATGGGGCTGGAACAGAGACACAGCTCAATTTCTTTGCACTTGGATTGCAGGGCAGGGAGATGCCATTTGATCATCAGCACAATCTTACATTTCCCATACTACATTGCTACACGCCTGCTATACTATACCATACATTCTATACTATTATATACTAAGTTGTCCTGAATAGTGAAACCTTCACAATATATCCAGTGCTTACCTATGCTACAGGGCAATTGTAAATGATTGCAGTCCCTGGAAGTGGAACTAGAAACAAACTCTGGAGGAGTAATTTCTGGTCTACAAATGCATTGCTTCCCTCTGGAGTTCTCTTCCTGAGTCAACAATAGCTGGGGCAGTAGAAGACACTGAAAGCAGCAACTAATTAAAATATTCTTTCCTTTCCCTAAACCACTGGAGAAAAACATAAACTAGAATTTGAAATTGCAGGTGGCATCACAGAAATTTTAAGAGGTTCAAAGGTCCATCTTTGGCACATCTTCACTTACGTAAAAATAATTGCAACTCCAATAATAAAGACGCAAACATATCCACAAACCAGCCACAAGATGAGATTTAAAGCTTAGGAAAAAACCTGTAATCTTTGCACTGGAAGTGTTGTTATGTCAGCTTTGAGATTGGTTCTCTTTTTTTTTTCTTTTCTTTCTTTATTTTTTTTCCCCTAGCTCCTTTTAAATCAATGGAATGACAGAGCTATTGATCAGAAATGTTATTTTTCTACTTGCCCACTGCCTATCAAGAAAATACTTAAACATCAGCTCATCCCATTAATTTCAGTAAGCTTTCAGCATATTTTTACATGCCATCCTCAAAAAAACCACTTTTTTAAAAATAAATTTTAACACTTGCTCTGACTCATTCAAGTCAAAGGAAAGACCTTTCTCCTTTAGAGGGTTTGAATCAGCTCCTCGCTTACTGAAAAGAACACAAATATTTTACTGATTCAACTATTTGGAGTGAAAATCCCTCAGAAGATTCAAATATCCCTGAACATGCACCATGCTTCACCTTTGGTGAGGGCACCAAACTCCTATCTCCTGCAATGATGAAGAGGGAAAGGAAGGAAATAGAACTTTCAAGAGCCAAGAGGACTGAATTTTGCAGATCTCTGAATGACCGAGATATTTTGTTATGTATGAACAGGAGAAGAAAGGGAAGAAGGATCCACAACAGCTACTTGTATTTCAACAATTGTGCAGATTCTCCACAAGTCATTAACTCATTTTGTGAGTTGATGTGCAATTTCAAACAGGCAATTTTAATACGTGCATTTTTTTCTGCTAAGGCATATCAGAACTCTTGCCATATTAAGTTTTATTAGTCTGGCTTTGGCATTTTCAGTCCTTCATTTGCATTCTAAAAAATGAGAATAAAAGAACAACAGCAATGTGTGCTTGGGAATTGGTCTTTCATCTTCCTTATCAGGGACCTTATCAAAGATTTCATCACTTAGCCAGCTAGAGGAAGTTGTGAAAAGCAACTACAATGCTGAAAAGTAATTAATGTTGTAAAATGGCTTTGGGTCCTTGGATGAATGACATTGCAGATTAGTGTTTTGCCCTTAAACGTGAAGTCACCCTTAGGTAAATCTATGGAATGTATATTGGCTTCATAAAATTTCTCTAGACATTTTAAAGTCAGTATCAGTGGTATTATAGCACAGCAACAAAATAAATATTTCTAAAATATCTGTGCATGTTTGCACAATACTACTTTGTGCTTTCACCTTTACTGAACCAATATTTTAGTAATTTCAGATCAAGCAAGACTGATGCTGAATTGCTCTGGAGTCAGTGAGAGTACATGGGAGGATAGAGATGGATTTTAAAACATTCAAGATTGGAGTCTTAACAAAAGCCTATATGGCACTAGTGTGTGACCATAATTGGAAAAGCATGGGAAATACTGTTTTTTTTCACAGAAGACTGCAGTTTTGTGGAAAGTATGCCTTACATCCATGTAAAGCAATACTCATCAGAGGGAGGATATTATACCTAGCTCTATGGTAATACTTCATTCTCTGTTCCTGCAAAAGTTTGTTTAACTCATTATCATTCCCTTTTACTCTAGCAAATAAAGGAAATAGCAGTAAAGGTCTCAATAAAACACCTCTTCCTTCATTAGGGCCATTAGGGATATCAGTGCTAAAAAAGGAAACCTAGACAAATAATTCTGAACTGCAATGCAACTAATATTTTCATTATCCTTTTTCCCAGAGAGCAGTTATGGAGAGCACCATTGCCCCAGAGTACACAGCCTGAAAACGAGCGCCTGTTCATCGGCAGGTGGGTTTGGGGAGGTCTGTAGCGTCTGCAATTGCTTTCCCCTGTAGTTGGATTGGTGGGAGAAGTCAGAGACAGCTGTGCTGAGGGCGGCTGGGGAATGTGTTAATTCAGCACTACCTTTTAACATTCTCTCTTTTCATTACAGATACTTAAATTGTTCCCAGTGGGCATAACAGAGAAGGAAAGGCGGACACAAGGAAGGATTTGATCCAGTTCCCCATTAAATTCAAAAGTGATAATAAGAGTTGGACTGGAACCTACATGAACGACATACCACAAATCATTTTATTTTCGCCAAAGCTTCTTCCGTCTACAGCAATTTCCAGTGAGGGCTGGAATCTACATCCCCCAAAACAGTTCTACTCCAGCAAATACAACGTGCATTAATGCAAGTATCATTCATTTTTCCCTTGACTAGAAAACATAAGGCAGCAGAGGATAATAGGAGCACATGGCTTGTGTGCAAGCACCAGGCTAGCAGCTGCTGGACCACTGTCTGCCTGTTGCTTAGCAATGCTTCATCTCTCTGCCAGAAAAAAAAAAATGTTTTGATGACAGAATATAAACCTGAAGTTTTGTTTGTGGTAAAATAATGACTGTGATAGTGCTCCAACCACTTCTTCCAACCACATGCTACACTACCTACTGAACATGTGAAGTTCTTGGGAGAAAGGCTGTGTTTTTCAGTGTCTGCCTAGCATAGAATCACAGAATGGTTTGGGTTGGAAGGGACCTTAAAGATCATCTTGAGGATTTTTTGGACATGGTTCTGGGCAACCAGTTCCAGCTGGCCTTGCTTGAGCAGCAAGTTGGACAACGTGGTCTCCTGAGGTCCCTTCCAACCTCAACCACTCCTTGATTCTGTAATTTCAGGAGCAAAATAAAAAACAGGAAGAATAAAGAAGGAAATAAAAAAGAGATGCCCAGAAAGTGAGAACATGGAGCAAGGACACTGCAACACATTAGTGCCTCACTCACCAGTTATCCATTTAGCTTCTGGGTCATGAATTTTGAAATCATCACTGAAGAGATCTTCCACCGTTATCTTCTTCTTCTGAGACAAGCTGTTATCTTCAGCTGTAAAACATTCAAAAACAAACTGCCATTACTTCAACTTTGAAGTGTATCTGAAAGTACAGCAACTGTGAATAGTGCCATGTCATATCTCATTTGGAAATGGTCCACATTAAGCTTTCTTTCACACATAAGCCCCTTCTCCCATTGTCATTGGTATAAAAGGACCATCTAGTGGTTCATAAACAGAAACCTCATGGTCATTTATGCCTGCACTCAGCAATTACAAAAAGATGAAGATATGGTCCAAACCACACATTTTTGGACATAATCTAAAGAAAAAAGATTTTGAAAGTCATGAAAACACACCTATTCATGTCATAGTGCTATATAATGCTGACTATTCTGAAGAGTATTAAAGCAACTTAACACTAAGACTATTCTGAAACCATTAGTTAAATTTAAAAATAATAATTAAAAGTGACCAAGTTTTTATAGTTTATATTTTTATTTCCTTAAAAACTGTCACGCAGAGGCACAGTTGGAAAGGTATTTAGCCTTAAAGGGCTCGTATAGATTACTTCAGGGACTCACAAAAGATTTTCCCTGGGAATCAGACACTTTAGAAATATTTTTGAAAAATCTATGAGACATAACCCTAAATCCTTAGGTGTTGCATAGCTGGCCTGTACTAATTTTCATTTTTAGTGAAAGGATATACAGTTCACTTAAAAACATGAAAATCTGGGCAGCTTTTACATTGAAGAACCAGACTGATACAGTAAGATCAACTTGTAATAAAGTGTCCTTCATTTAGTTTGTTCTTCCTAACTCTACTCCAGCATTCCGCTTTCCCCACAAAGAAATACTTGCTGTACATCTTCCTCCGCTGCCCTTCGGACAGTCCTCTTTGCATTTCTCATGTTTCACTCAGAGATTGCTAACAGATTGCTGATGCAAAGCATCATCTGAAGAAAACACAGAACTGAATTCTGTCTGCATATATATTATTGTTAAAAGGAAATCTGTCTCATCTAGGATGCCACCAAGACTAAACCCAAATGAGTCCAACCAAAAAAAAACAAGGCACGAATTTAACCACTTGAAGTTTGCCACAGCTAGCATCTTCTCCTGTGCCAAAATTATGCATTTTCATTTCTATCACCACATCTCTGCTACGTAACAGTTACCATAAACACAAAACAGGCTCCTCGGTCTTGAATCAATGGATTCTTGGGCTTTACAGATAAAGAGTACGTATATTACATCCCAAAACTCTGTTAGTTTATATAAAATGGATTAACATAAAAATGTTAATATAAAAATGGATTTTAATTTTCTCAAAGCTGAAATTTTTAGAAAAAAAACTGAAACAATTTTGATTAATATATTCCTTCTTTTCTTTTTTTCCCCCAACAGTAATTATTTTTTGTCATGAGAAGCAGTCATCTTCTGTGAATAATTTGTTTTCAACATGTAAGTTTTTGACTGAAAAAAACATTTTCACGGAAACCTTTCGGTCAGCCTTGAACTCATTTGCTCTTTAAAGGAACACATAAGGTCACATTCTGAGTATTTCCACAGCAGGGATGTGTGCTTCAGCACCTCTCCTTGCTACAGCATCCTCATGCCTGAGGTCTATCGGTGTCACGCAGCCTTAGCTATCTTTAACACTGTTTAGCACTGAACTTCTTACACTGAACACACTTGTGATTAGTGGAATCAGACTCTCTGAAGCCATCTATTAGAGGAAAAAAGTCTTCTTTACTACACTAAATGGAAGTAACTGAACTACATGCGACAACTGAAAATTACCTATGAACAATGTTTTGTTCCACTAAAAGGTATTTCAATACAAACTATCATTTCTTCCAAATTAAATTATATTCTTCAATTTTCATATTTTTTTCAAGTCTGACTGAGGTTTCAATCACATTCCTCAATGTGGTTTCCAAATACTAAGACACATTAATACAAGTCCTCAGCCTCTGCGTGACAGCATTATGCCAAGTTTTTCTGCATAATTTTATTTATTAAAATGGAAAATACAGGTCAGAGGAACTCCAGGAAACTGTTCCAATTAGTTCCCACCATGGTGCAAGTTTCCAGCACTGGACACCTGGGGAGATCAGGCGATGCAGAGCAGGAGGTCGGAGCCCACATACAGCCCTGAGCTTGGAGCTGTTTCAGGCGCTGCTTCCCAAATGCCACACTGAGGAACATGGATATCCTCTTCCCTACCATGAGATCATAAGGACAGGCACAAGCAAACCTCTGTGCTGGAGATGTGAGAAGGAGAAGAGTGAGAATCCTTTCTCATTCCCTCTTTTTGTGCAGGATGGAGACAGCCAGTCTGGGGGCTGCACTAGCTCTATACCTTCACAGCACTTCAAACTCCTCTTAAGGGACAGAAGGAAGAGAGACAGGTGGCAAACAATGCCTGCACACCCAGGAGTCTCCATAAGGCATGTGCCTTGTTGAGATTCCCTTACTGTCTCCTGCGGTGGGCTGTAATAGCTGCAATAGGTTCTATAACGAATCATGGACAACACAAATATCAGCTATAGAGCTGGGGAGAAAACAACAAACTAAATAATCAATCAATCAATGATTTTTAGTAAAAAATTCAGATTTACTCACCTCTCATCTAACACATAGGCAAGTCAGAGCACTCATTAAGAATACCTATTCCATTCCCCTGGCAACAGTCTCTGAGCATGTCTTAGAGTGTCTAAGCCAGCTGGTGGACACAAGTTGTGTCCACACCCAACTGCAGAGACCTTAGGGCCTCCTTGGGTTTATGAAAGGAGGAGATCAAGCATGTGCCACCACCTGTTTTGCACTCATGTCCCCCAACCCCAGCAGACCCAGATGGCAGCTGCCAACCAGGGCCTTACAGTACAGCAGCATGGCAGCAGTGCAGGTGGCACAAGTGCTTGCAGTTTGAGCGCAAAGTCAGAAACCCACCATCCAAACAGCAAAGTTACATGGGGAGAGAATCCAGTGAAAACCATGCCTGTTTTATTTTTGATTCAACGTGAAAGGCATGACGGAACCCTGCGTTGGTCAGACCTTTTGGGTTCATCTGTTTGCACCTTGTCCTTGAAGTCAGCACTGAACTGATAAAATCTTGCTCTCCAGAACACAAACAGAACAAAGATCCTCCAAAAACCCAGAAAACTCAAAACAGAAGGGAAAAGGTCTATGAGCTGACCTCTCTGCCTGTGCAGTACCAATCTTTTCTTTCAAGCTTCCTCTCAACTCCAGCAATGCTCAGAGGCTGCTTGATGGGTCAGAAGGTTTCAGTCACCTTTGGGTGCCCACCTTTCTTTCCATCATCCCTAGGGCTCAGCTACAAGTCAGTGCCAGATGCTTTTCTCACACATCTGCTGGGCTATTGTGCATTACAAGAACATGAGTGAGCATGCATCCATGAATGTCCACCTCTGGCAGAGCTCCCTTTCCACCTTAGCATACCTGCTTGATCCCCAGGCAAACCTGAGCCTTTTTTTTTTCCCCAGACAACTTCCCTGTACCCAAAAGGCAGTGGCCAGGCAAGGCAAACAGGCAGCCTCTCTCCCTTCTGTTAAATCCCTTCTTTTTTTTTTTAATGGCATATAATATACATTTATATATACAGCTGTGAGCAAACAAACTACACTCCTGCACAGCTGGTCACAGGATATTTCCTTGCTCTTCCCAACTAGCAAAAGTCATACAAAGCTTACTAAGTGATGTGTTTGGCTGTCTGACAGCATGCTGTGAATAAATGCTAGGCAGTGACTACCTCAGTACCATCTCTGAAAAATATTTCATATGAATTTTGGAAAAATTTTAATGCAGAGTTGGGTGTACTTTCCTTTTTTCAGCTAAAGGTCAGATTTGAAGGGAGCAAACTTGATGTATATCTCCAGAAAGTTTTAAATATCAGGAACAGATATATAAAAAGTCCTTGTTTTCCTCCATTTCCAAACAGAGGAGACTAGAGAGCAGCCTTTTCCTTAGCAAAATGTCTAATGGTATTTTGGGGAGGTTTTTTCAACAAAAATTTCTGTAGGATCGAGTCCTCTCTTCAGCTTTGATATGTGTGTGTGTGTGTGCACGAACACACACATAACTATAAACTTTCGCACGTGTTTACACAAATACACACAACACTGCTGGGACGGGACCCGTACAGGTGCCACACGCTGAGACAAGTGAACAACCACCAATTAGGAAAAGCTCAGTCTCACACTTTTATCATTTGTATAAATAGTTCCACATTTTTCAAAGGGGGGTGGACTCACACATATGAAACCAGAGTCCTTTAGCGTAAGCAATTGCGTGCATTCAGTATGCTATAGTGTCATTAAATGCAAGATTTCACTAGTTACTGAGTCTTCTGAAAACGTTTTTCTAGAAAGCCAAAGGATATACAAATCATAGAAATGCTGAAATTTTCGTAGGATTTTATAAAACAGGACCTAGGTGTGAGCTAGCAACAAAGCACCGCTATTGTAATTACAATACCTGCTGAATGCAAAGAGCACTGTTCCCAGTGTATGAGCTAATCTTAAAGCAGGGTGAGTGACCTGCCTCTGAGAAACCTACACCACTAGGGATTTCAGCTTTCTTGAAGCTGAATCCAGAGTTAACACCTTCTTTAAAGGTTTGGGCCAATTTGTAAAAGAATCTTGAAGAGATATATAAATCCTCTTTTTCCTCAATTATTGAATACTTTACTCATTATCTGTTCTGAAGAGCAAACCTTCCACATTCTCAACTCTACCACTCACTCTTTGTTTTGCAGGACTACCCAGCAGACTACCCCAGTTTTCGCAGTATCCATAGAATCATAGAACCATAGAATGATTTGGGTTGGAAGGAACCTTAAAGATCGTCTAGTTCCAACCCCCCTGCCTTGGGGAAGGACACCTTCCCCTAGATCAGGTAGAAGCCTGGCCTTGATATTGGATATTGGGATATTGAGAAATTTGATATCTATGATATTGGAAACTGGAATATTGGATATTGGGAAATACCACCATCATGATGAAAGTTATGGGTCCAGTTAACCACATTTTTTTGTCTGAACACAGACTACGAGCCCGCATGCTGCACCCTATCCCATACATGTCCCAAATGTACATGTCCTCTGTAGGCATTGCATGATGTTCATTCAGCACTGGGTTTAGAGCATCTCTACATTCCATGCCTTGGTATTGCACTGCAAAACAGCCCTTCAAACCAACAGCAAAATACTTAGAGGAGAATGATTTCCCAGTCAGGGAGAGGGCCAAGATAGATAGGAACAAGTAAGGAATTCAGAAGTAAAATGCAAAAGGTTATTTGTACTAGTACGACAGAGTCAGGCTGGAGTCCAACATTATCACCAGAAGGAAGACTTAAAAATATTTATTCTCAAGCATAGTGCTCTGCCGATGCCAGACTCCATCACCCCACTTGAGGGTATTTTTATTTGTTTGGGTTTTTTGCTTATTTTTTTCTGATATCACTCTCACACTTGGCAGCAACTCCCCATGAGCATCCACAAAACTGCTTCGCCTCCTTCCTTCACTTTCTTCCTGTCCCTTTCTTGCCTCCTGTTCAAAGATCCATCACTTATTTTTCAGTTTGGCTACCAAAGGATAAACATCTCTTCTTCCAGTGAATTGCTTTGTGGCAGGGAAATGCAGACTCTGCATCTCCTTTTGGACAGGCTCCTTCATCTTCCCCACTCCTACCCTGCTGGCGTGTGCTATCCCCAGTCAGGATCAGCAATGTAATACTTTTTATGTTTGTCAAACCAGCCTCAATGTCTCACTTAGCATTGGCTGGTGGGAAATGCCTGTGAAATGAGCCTCCTGTTACGCTCTGCCATAGCACGTCCTCGTAACAAGCTCCAGGGCCGATGGCCCAAAAGAAGACTGAACTCAGCTGCTGCCAAGCCACAGCAGCAATCTAAGCTATCTATTTTACCCTTGGCAGAGTCTCACCATGAAGCAGTCTGGATCCATAATACAAACAGAAGCAGCACTGAGCTCAGAGGCTTTATATTTGCATGTAGGAGACAGGTCTGAAACACCAGCAGGGAAAAAAAAAACCCAAACCCAGTTTAACTGCAAATCAGGTAATTAGAAATCTCAAAAAACTTGAATGGAAATTTTAGCATAGAAAATGACTTTGCATATTCCTAAGTTTCAAGCACAGAGACCCTCTACAATGGTGCTATTTGGAGTTGTTGCTAAGTATCTATTAATAACTGTATGATTCATGTGTATACGTGTGTGTGCATACATATCCCAAACAGAGAAAGTCTTTGTGGAAGCATATACACATATAAACACACAAATACACTTGTGAATTTTATTTATAACTGAAAGTGAGTATTTCATATTCCCACTTCATACTATGTAAAATAGAAGGTCACCATAATAACCCATATCTACTTGTGTTTTCCTAAATTAGAGAACATTCACTACAGATTCTCAACGCTCCGTACGCCTTTCCCATCTAGGCACTTACCTGGACAACAGAGCTGCAGTATCTATAGTTATAATGGTCATTAGTGGATTTTATGTGTGAGTAGGATTCAGGAGAAATCCTAAATGAAGGCTATAGTGGACCCTAGAATTGAAACCAGAGCTGCTAAAGCTTCACCAGATATCACTCTGACCATCCTTATAAAAAAAATTATTATTCCAGGTGACCTGGTAAAAGGAAAGACTTCTGACTTCGACTGCATTTAGGACTGCAGAGGTACGTTTATGTGTCTCCCCATGTATCCTTGTATATGGAATCCTGCTTTTCGATGGAAGTGGCACCCATGGTCTCATCTGTGCAGTGTGAGCCACTGACAGCTTCCTGAAGCCCACAGGTGTGGTTTAGGGAATCTAGGCTTCAGCGTGCATTTTTGAAAAGTCTGGGACTGCATTTCCATAAAATAGATGACGACATTTCCGTATCTCATGAGTAAGGTACGATATTTGTCACTGCAAATAAGTGGTGCCTGATGTAAATACAGTCCACAGACCATGACCCAAAACATCTCATAGATGAACTGCACTGTCCAAGGGTGTTAAATCTGAACCCTAGCGAAAGTAATTTTAAAATTATTCTTAATTAAGTTTAACCTTAATTAATTTAATTACTTAATTACTCTGGCATGACCGTTAGCTACTTACATTTACATTGAAAACTTCAGGATAGCATGAAATAAACTGAACATAGCATGACAATAAATAACCAAAAGGATTAAGCAGTAATTGTTTCACTCATTTTCAAATTAACTTAGTGCAGTCCTGTGTTTCTTGATCTATCGCTGTCTCTAGTCTACCATACAGTAGGCCTGTGGCATAAGAACTGTGTTAAGGAAGATGGCCCAGATTTCAGTTCACATGCTATGAGCTAGAAATTTCTGCCCCACAACTTATATCTCATTTTTCCACTTCTCTGTCCTGTGCTCTTCCGTTTTCTATGGTTTCATTTCTCCTTTGCCTCTGTTCCCCTCCTCAGCACTGTGCTGTCTGTCCTGTTGTCCCCTAGAATCACTCCCACGTACTCATCCAGGAAGGAGCCTCTTTTCTTCTCCTCTACATCCCTCTGCAGAAGACCTTCTGCCTTCTCCTGTGCTTTGTAGCTCTTCACCCTTTCTGACACTGAATTCTCTTTTCTATGTCTCATCTCTCATTCATTTGTCTTTTTATATTCAGATCACAAGCTTCTCTGAGCAGCGAAAGCACGTTATTTCTACTCCATAAGTAGTCATGGAAATTTACAAGGCTGTATAAATATGTAATAATCAATAATCATAATGATATCACATTAAAATTCAAGCCTACAACCTCAGCAGCTACTGTAAGTGAAGTAATTTACTGAGGTTACGTGCACAGAACTTTGCTGAAATTTGGTAAGGGGATTAACTTAAAGAATCCCTAATTGGGAAGTTACTAATTATTTGCTGTGGTTAAGTGCTATCTGGCACGTAGTTATCTGGAATTACTTCATAAAGCTGGAACACAATGGTCTGATCTAAAAAGCAATACTGCTGAAGGGGTTGGGATTTAGATGCTTAAGCATAGGCATCTGATGCTATTTTAGGTGGTCTAGGATATGCCACCCAACTGGCAGCTACTGCAGTATGAACTTCAGGGATTCCTGCATCCCAACCGACTGGCCTATGTCGATGTCTCTCACACCCTGGTACATCTAACATGACACTCCTCATCTATGTTTATGCATTTAAGTTTCACCCTTATACTTTCAGCCCTGTGGCCCTGAACTTTGAATCAAAATGTAAAATGAAAACTATCTACCTAGGAATGACCTTGAAGTCAGCATCACATCAAGCTGAAGAATGGGAAGCATGATTCCTTTGATGTTGACTTTGCAGTCAATTTGCAATCCCTTTAGGCTTGGAAGTGTAAAATTACAGAAGAAAAACAGAATGGAAGTGAGTTAAAGGTTATAAATACCTGGTGTCAGGAGTATAACAGAGGTGACAATCAGGGAGCAGATAACGAGAATAACAAGTAAGGCAATTGCAATTCCTTTCCAGTTTCTTTGAGGAGGGTTACTCCCCACCAGCTCCTAGAAACATCAAAGGAAAGTGAACATTTAGAAGAGGCACTTAGACAAGGAAACAAACAGCAGAATCCAAACATCAATGTATGTCTGCAGAACCACACCTCTGACCGTGGTGGGGGGAAGCCCATAAGCCAAACACAATTCATGTCATTATAGAACGATATATGTTGTGGGATTAATTGAATCCATCCCAAGTCATGTTATACAATGAGTACATGCAATGCACCCATAGGATGCTCAGTACTGTAATCTGCCCTTCCCACTGCTTCCTCGCACACGGGCACCAGCTGCCCACACCATTACTCATCTGAGCTCACTTATCAAAAGCCAATTTCCTGTGAACCTTCATTAAATCTGGGAATAAAAGGCTTTACAGTAACTTTCAAAATACTTTTATAATAAGACGCCAGAGAGGAATACCGGAAGATTAATAATTCACATGGGTATGTATGGAGATCAAAATCAATATGGATATCCCCATGGTGAACTTTTCTGCCTTCCCAGCAAACATCACATCTTCTCAGACCACCTTGCTTGCGTTCCTAGGTTGGTAGGTCTAAGGACATGAAGATAAGCTTCACGTCTAGCATATACATTAAATTTAATCACGTCCTTAAAACTCTGGAATAAAAGCTTCATCACTATTCACTGATTAGCTTTGACTTAATTGTGGTTGTACCATATGTTCTGTCTACGATGTATACAGCACTCCTGCTCTCGAGACTGAGGTTTTTATGAAGTGCTGTGTTCGCATTCACAAGATCTTAAATATTTATTGCACTTTATCCCTTTCATGCTTTTTGCTGGATTCCCCTTAGCACTGCGTATTAAATATGATTTCATGCACGCACTGAAGCATCCTGAGGAACGGTATGTATCAGTGCACTCCGCTTTCCTGGAAGGCTGAATTCACTCAAGGGATCTGGCCTCACAGCCAGAACAACTCTGGATGCTCCTCCTCCTTGTCAACCTCATCAATTTAGAATTTTTGCTTCATTTCCTTTATTATGAGGGATGGTGAGTCTAAGGCAGACCGCTGATAGTCTTTAAAAGATTCTTCTTTTTTTGTTTTTCAACTTTTTCAGGAAAACAAAAAGCTTTATAATAGACTAAGTTCTTCTGTAAATCAGAGAGTTTGTTTCACTTCTTTTATACACAGCAACATGACTCAAGCAGGAAGGTCAGGCAAACCTCACAGTTTTGATTTCAGAAAATCCTGGAAAATATTTTTCATTTTTTCCATATCAAGAATCATAGAATCATAGAAACATAGAATCATAGAAACATAGAATCATAGAATGGTTAGGGTTGGAAGGGACCTCAAAGATCATCTAGTTCCAAACCCCCTGCTGTGGGCAGGGAAATCCTCCACTACACCAGGTTGCCCCAAAGCCTGTGAAATGAATCCATTTCACAGAAAAAGATAATGTTGAGACTCTCTCCCTGTATGTTTGGGGATCGATCCATTACAAAGGCTATAAATCTGCAATGGAAAGCCAAGTTTGAGGCATTAAACATCTGAGGTAGCATCTGTATATCATTAGTTATTCTAGTTCTGGAAAAACCATGATGATTCTCTTCCTTCTGACAAAGAAGGGCAGAGGTTAGCACCCCTTCGTCTCCTTGCCTTCCCCTCATTTGCATTTGGTTTTCTATTTTAAGTGAAAAAGAATGAGAAAGAACAAATTTATAGTTTACTGTGTTTATTATTCTTACTGGAGACAAATCTGAAAAGTAGGTCAAGAGCCTTGAGAAATGCAATTTTGCCAGCAAGTAAACATAAAGAATATAAATACTTGTATTCTTATAGCATCTTCATCCTAAGTACAAATAAAAATGTTAATTAGTTTAGTCTTCTAACATCTTTTTTAGGAAACTGCTACAGTCCCACTTCTCAGGTGATGCAAATAGGCTCAAAAGAGAGTCTGTGACTTTCTCAGGGTCATATACAAATTGAGAAATAAAGCCAGGAAAAGAATCCAGGGCTTCTCAGGGAGTGGCAGAAATATTCTTCCTTTCACAGCAGGGCACAGTGGGACCTAGAGGGATGACGGGAGACATGGGGACAAGTAGCTGAGAAACCACAGTGCTTCTAGCCAGCCAAGCCCTGACAATGTCTGAAGGACAGAGGAAAGACGCAGGCAGCACTGCAGGACTGATGGCAACAGTCACATTCCTGAAAATAATCTAACAGTCCTCTCCCCTTTGAATGGTCAGAAGTTTTAAAATTCAAAAAAACAGCTCACAGGCTTGAATTAGTCCTACAAACCCAGATGTAGTACAGAAGCTTAATAAAACCTTGCATTAAGTGAGGTTTCCCCATCCATGGCTCCCAGCATGATAGAAATCCACGCACGTGCTTAAGCTTGCAGGATATCGATACTTCCACAGAATCCATTCTCATATCATAATCTCATTAATTCTTCAGTCATCCAATCAATATTTGAGCAAAACCACAACAAAGACAACTGGGAATTTCTAGCGTATCAAGAGGAGGAAAACTACTCATAAACAAAACTTCAGTATTACAGACTTCTGCAAGGAAGCAGAAAGGAACGTTTTCACTTTATTTTCAGAATTCCATCAGGAAATTTCACCTGATAAAAAGCAAGAAGATATAAGTGATGTTTCGAAGAAAGGTAAACAGCTCTATTCAGCACAGCTACAGAAAAGTAGCTTTTTTTGTTCTTCTCAGTCATTTGAAGTCTTTTTCAATGGAATCACTTACACTAAATCTGCTGCACTCACATTGCTTAGATCTTTCCTATCTGTATTTCTGTCAGTTCCAGAGGGATGTTGCTGTGTCACTATGACCAGCTTTTACTTCCAGGAGATTACAGCCTCACCACCGGTCCGTGTTACCCCATATCCTTGGCAGCAAACTCCCACTCCTTCAACAGGAGCCCCCACAAGTGGACATCAGCTGCATATTCACATTGCTCAGGAAAGCCTCTGTGCTTGGGGCTGATGCCAGGAAGGTGTTTAATTAAGCCCTAGACAGGTACAGGTTCATAAATAACATTCTTGAAGTGGTACCTGAAAGGCTTTGCTTCCAATGTGCAGTGCAAAGCTATAATTTGCCCATTCTTGGAAGATCTCAGCTTGCAGGTGTAAATACGGAGATCTGAACCAGCCAGCAAGCTGATACCCTGTGTGAACCACGGCTGGTAATCCTAAAGACACCACTTTGGTTTTGATACTGAACTCTGAGCATATTACACAAATGGAAATAAACCAAGCGTGCACAATTTCTGCTCTGATGAAATGATTCTACTGAAAACAACATTAAAGGAAACATTAAAGCAAAGTCACTCATGGGTAGGAGTCACCTGCTCTCTGCTTCTCATGGAGAACTAACGCGATGCCTGCATGACCTCTGCAAGCCAGCTAAAGCCCTTCAGCCTGTTTTTCTCCTTTTTTTTCCTTTTTCAGTTTGTTTTTCACTCCCTTCTTTCTCTTACATAAAACCTTAATTGTTTTGGGATTAGGAAAGTAAAACAGATGCTACCACAGGTTTTAAGATAAGCATACTTCATTGATGCTGCATACTAAAAACCGTAAATGTTATCACTTTCATCTTCATTTATGATTGAAAAATAACGCTACCCACCTGTGAAGTTGACTTTGAAGCCATAAATCCAGACATCTACAGTATTTTAAGACTCTAAAATACAGATCTGTGAAGACATATTTTCCTGCTTGTGAAAGAACCACTGCACTGACATGTTATGGATGAAGGCTGGATATGCTCCAATCCAAGATGTTGTCAAGAAAATTATTTCTGGCATGTTTATTTGAAACCTGCCAAAAGTCTGCCAGCACGGTGGCCATATTACAACGGTATAATAGCTTCTTAAAAGAAAAACTCATCGAGTGCATCTTCTTTTTTTTTTTTTAATACCCATGTCTATATTGCTAAATGAAAGAAGGACAACATAGACATCACTTGTCAAGTATTGACATTATTTAATAAAAGCTATACATTCTGGACTCTGAAGTAAATCAATAGCAGGATGGTCATGGTGGGCCTCTTTGTCTTTTTCAACACAGAGTTGCCACTTTAGTGCGATAACAACAAAACCTAGGTGTGTTATACTGGAATACAGACATTCCAGACACGTACTGTACAGCTGCAGATAGGAGACTGAGCTCTCCTCTCTGTTACACCCGTGTAAATCAGAAAGAAAAGGAAAAAGAAAAAAAAAACCAACAGAATAAAAGTAATGACGTGTGAAACAAAAGCAGATGCAAGATCCTTTACTGGCTTCAGAGGCAGCAGGATGGGGTTTGTAGCAAGGTTTTGTCTGGTCTCCATACCTGTTGTTCTTGCAAGCTCTGCTTCTTGCTTTTTTTTTTTCCTAAATTTTAACTACATAACCTGAAATCCTACCCTCATAAACACAGTAAATGAAAAATCTTCTAGCAAGCTTGTCAACACACAGGGAATTGAGGAATATGTATTCTACCTTCAACTCACACTGCGTTGTTCTGAATTAAAACTTTTGCCTGATGACATGACATAGTGAGTGCAATGTCCCTGGCAAGTCAGCTCAGCAGTTTCAGAATATAGCCCAGAATAAAAACTTTGCTGAGGAACTAAGGTACAGGAACACTGTTGTCTCTGGCAAAAACTCCCATGACATGCAGTGGAAAAAAAATCCTGCTGTTAATTAGTTCTTTATAATACAAAATTGCTGCAGATTATAACTGTTAAACAGTACAACAAATGAGATAAAGAGTGGGTAACCCTTATGGGTAGATTATTAACCCTGTGTTGCAAAAAAAAAAAATATTTATTGCAGAGATAATGGGAGTAAACTAGATGCATTGCTGTGGTTACAGCAGGAGGTTTGCTGAGATCTCTGGTTAGATTGCTGATTGATACCCTTACTGTCTCATCACACTCCTCTGCCTGTCTGCATCCTCTGCCCCTCTGCTGCCTTAAATTTAGGATGGAGGCTCTTCGTGGGCAGGAATCATTTTTGATACCCTGCCTGGCACAG